ATTGAGATAATGCTCTTGATCTTTTTCCCAACGATCTTGGTGCATAAATAACGATTTTGACATGTTTTGATCAAAATCCACGTGGTCGCAAAAAATGCATCAAATTCATGTCTTGGGCATTGAGATAATGCGCCTAGTCTTTTCCCAACGATCTTGGTGCATAAATAACGATTTTGACATGTTTTGATCAAAATCCACGTGGTCGCCAAAAATGCATCAAATTCATGTCTTGGGCATTGAGATAATGCGCGTAGTCTTTTTCCCAACGATCTTGGTGCATAATTAACGATTTTGACATATTTTGATCAAAATCCATGTGGCCTCAGAAAAATAATTTAACATTTTTGAATCACACACATGCGGTTATCAAACGTGCACGTTATCAACTCTTTCAGCATCAAGATAATGCGTTTGAAAGCTTTTACAACTCTAAATTCATGTGTAAAGAATAATTTTGGGTACATTTTGCTCTAAAACTTTTGACCGAGACCACAGAGAAGAGTTATATTGAATTGTTACACATCTAAGAGTCATAGGGAATAATCTAGCGAAAGTCCGAACTCGATACATGACCTAGGGAATGAAATATGTTAATTTTTATTATATTGAGTTCGCAGTTTTTCCTGTTCCCGATTCACTCGAAGTCGTATAACTTTTGTTCCTGTTGAACCAGCTTCCTGAAAATCAATAGCGTCCGTTCTTAATGTCCAACGTACCCGTATACCAAATTTCAACACAATCGGCCACTTTTAAAAAGAGTTAGAGCGCACACGGACGGACGGACGGACGGACGGACGGACGACAATACAAAACTATAAAGGATCTGAGGATCCTTAATAAGCGTTAAAAGTTTTTCAATTACTAATAAGACTTCTTAAAAGTTTAAAAACACGACCAAAACTTGTTAACAAGAATTAAATTAAAATGCTGTTGTTGTATACAATTTTTATACACAAACAATCTGTTAAGTTCCCATTTCCACTGAAATTGTATTTTTCTCGCCGAAAATAGGTACCTATCTCTTAGCAAATGGCGCGTAGATTTGTCGATGAGTATCAGGTGGAAGATGTGTGTTGGAAAACGTGATGATGTGACGGGCGTTTAACTGAGAACCAATTATCAGTTTTCCTTCAGTTAAATATTACAAGAAGCACTAATAATAAACGCTATTGAAAATAAAAACTTCAACTTCTGTAAACGCTTCCGATCCTTTATTACCAGCCGCTGTTATTTTTGGTAGGCACTGTATAATTACAGGATCTATATAGGTAGGTTACTCCCACTTCGTCAGTTTGCTTTTTTCATTTGTCTATTTTTTTAAGCTTGTTTGTGGGTTTTGATATTTCGCTTGCGGCATAAATATCTTTTACTACATACAATCCACCGCTATGTGCTTTATTCTTTCGAATTCACTCCGAATTGGTTGAGATTATTTATTGGCTTGTTGTCTATATCAATTATAAATTATCGCAATCATATTCATATTTATAACACATCTATAACAACATTCGATTCCAACGACACACGCAATTGAATATTCTCCTATAAAATAATGGACCAACGAAAGAAGGCTCTCTTGCAATTTCAGGAGATTTTACAGCACCAACATCGTCGAAAAATAAAACAAACGCGGAAAACGTACCCCGTCCCCTATCTATGTGGCATACATCACTCCATTGTTAAATATCCTCAATTTTCAATTGAGTAAAGG